TTTAAATAAATATTACTAGCATTTTTCTTTCTTTTAATCCATATATTATATGTTATTCTCCCTTAACTTTGGTTATCAATTTTACTACTAATTTCTTTCTTTATTTCTTAATTAAAAATAATATAGATAAATAAATAAATTATCTATAAATTATTAATTTATGAAAAAAATTTCAAAAAACACTTTGCAAAAAATATTCGAGGAATGAGTCGTAAAAAATAGGAAAAATTATAATTAAGATAAAGAAAGAGAAATGCGCTTAAGGGCTAAAAGACACATGGCGAAATGCAGAGAGAAACGGTAAATCTTAGGTCATCATTAAGTTGGGCCGGGCCCCAGAGGTTTATTGTTGAGATCTTTGGTCGTCAATGGGTTGGGCCAAAGGTTTTCCACTGACAGTTTCTTTTGAAAAAAACAGAAGCATTTATAGTCAGCATTTGCCGTTTGACTCGTTTACGATGTAGTAACCTTTTAAAAGAATAAAAAAAAAAAAAAGAAAAGGAGGTAACAATACCCTTTTTTTAAATATAAACGTATAAGATGGGCAAAAGAAAAAGTATAAGGATGTCGCTTATCCTCCTCTTTTCTCTGTCTCTACAACCTCTTGTTTCTGACTAGAACTCTTCTCAGATCTCAAGTTTTGGTACTTGGAAGCCTTCGGTTCCTGAGGTTTTTTTACGCTTGGAAGCCCTATGGCTTCACAAGCATGATGGAGCCGGCCAATCGTGCTCCTTTGTCTAGTGACCACTGTACATGGTTTATCGATTTTTTTTTGTGGTCCGTTCTGGTGGTATTTGTTTTCTTTTATTTTTTGTTCTTTGTTTTTTTTTCTATGTTTAAATCTGGTGGCCAACAAAACAAGTAAGAAGAAATTACAGGTTGGTCGCTGTTAGCTTCAATCTCCAAGCCACGGCATCTTGGAGCGTGGATTTATCTATTTAAAAGGAAGATTGAAGGTATCCCATGCTTTCTAGAGTATTCAACTAAAGGAATCTATAAATTAGTCTCTTTAGAGGTTTTTGTGTGATTTCACTGCC